AGAGCTGGATGAACACAGCAGGCCAAGCAGCATCAGAGGAGCAGGAATGCTGACGTTTCGGGCCTGGACTTTCTGAAGAAGGGTGTAGGCCCGAAACGTCAGCCTTCCTACTCCTCTGATGCCGCTTGGCCTGCTGTGTTCATCCAGCTCTACACCTTGTTATCTCGTTAATTCTAAACAGTCAGCTGAGAGCAATGGCAAGATTACAGCCCTGTAAATACCGTTTCTAAACTTGTAGCTGTTCAAAGGGTGCTACCCTGCTGAGGTCATTATGCACTCTGATGTAGCACTGAGTAGGAACGGGCTCCCCCTCTTAAACGGGCTCCCCCTCTTAAACGGGTCTGTGGCAGTCAGATGACTGCATGTACTTAAAGCTTGAGAATGTGATCAGCAGTATTTCTACCTTGTGATGTGGGGGGTGGGGGGTGAGGTGTGGAAATTGCAAAGTGATTTGCCCGGTGCATGTTTTGTGGAGAATACTTGATAGTGGAATATCATAGCAATTTAATCAAAAACTGCGAGCACCCATGTGGACTGTTTGCAGTACTTCAGTTATCATTGTGTGACTCTGTAAACTATTGTTTGGACCACAGATATAAAAGTTCAAAATGAGTCCCATTGATCTGTATGGTTTGAGGCCATGAAATGGTTTTATTCCAATAATGTTTATCTTGGTATCAGCAGATGTTAGGATGAATGCTGAACAGAGTACTTAATTTTTTATTTGTTCTTTTCATGTAAACATTCCAGGTAAGGCCAGCATTTTTTGTCTGTTCAGAACTTGCCCTGAAGGTATATTTTGTTTGCTATAACTTCTCTACTGAAAATTTGCCAATTTAGTCAGTAATTAATTATTGATGCATATTCATTTATAAGGCAGCCTTGCATTTATATAACATATTTTGTGACTTCAAGTTGTCCCAAAGCATTTTCCAAACAACAAGAGGCAGACAGCATGGAAACAGACCTTTCATTGGTCCAATTAGTCCACGCCAATCCTATTCCCAAACTAAACTAGTCCCACCTGCCTGCACTTGACCCATACCCATCCGAACCTTTCCTATTCACGAACTTGTCCAAATGTCTTTTAAACATTGTAACTGTACTTGCATCCACCACTTCCTCTGGCGGTTCATTTATTACACGAGCCAGTCTGCTTAAAAAAAAAAGCCCCTCGTGTCGTTCTTAAATCTTTCTCCTCTCACCTTAAAAATATGCAACTTAGTTTTGAACTTTCCCACCTTAGG